TTTTAAAAGGGACCTGAAGGGTAACGCTTTCGTGTAGAGTGTGATGTGTGTATGGAATGAGGTGCCAGAGAAAGTGATGGAGGCTGGTACAATTACATCATTTAAAAGGCACCTGGATGGGTATGTGAATATGAACGGTTTAGATGGATATGGGCCAAATGCTGACAAATGGGACTAGATGAATGTAGGATATTGGTCAGCACGGACGAGTTGGACCGAAGGGTCTGTTTCCATGCTATACAACTCTGACTCTAACACTCTATGTACGCTTGTCATCTTTCGTTTAAAAGAAATATTTCAACAATTTTGTGGATTTAAATAACATGCTCGGGATATTGCATTTTGTTTGTTTTAGTTCAACACATGAAAAATGTACTTGGTTTATAACAGTGATCTAAGTGCAAATTAAATTCTCTGACAATTAGTGACTACTCTCCTTATCCTTTCAGCAGAAAACTACTTCAGTTATATTCACACAGCTGTGTGAAGTGAATGTGATCAGCATAACATCAATTCTTATTATAGTGATTATGTATTTCAGTGATCACAATTGGAAAATTGTTATCATGGGTGAATGTTTGACTTGTATACAATGTATGTCTGTTACAAAGGATTGTGACTGACATTCATATAAATGCTTTACATATAAATACAAATTGTTTATTCCACTGCTCTTTTTTTTGTCCTTTTGAAGTAAGTTAACTAACTCTGCAAAATAAAGTGGAGCCGATACCATGTGGGAGCTGATTTTAATGTGCAGTTATTTTTAAGTTGAAGTGCCTTAATTAATGAGGATAACTATTTTCAGATGTTTTATTGTATATTGTTTTATTTATAATACTCTACAACTTTTTGAAGCTGCCTCAAATGCTGATTTCTAGTTCAGTTGTGGGGTCTCTGTTCTGTATTGAAGTACAATTTTTATAATAACTAGACTAACTGAAAAGTAACTTGGTTATTTAGTTACTCTAATTCTACCATTATATGTAGCATCCTACTGGACAGCAAATACCACAAGATCCTATGTTGAATTCCTGGTTTCTGCAGAGCAAGCTAATTTCAGAGAAACAACAGGGAAAGCAAAAGAGTGGGTGTGCTGGAAATGGCAGTTTGTTCAACACATTTCTGGTCCAGAATTTATTTCACAGCTGGCTAAAGTAAAATTGAAGTTAAAAACACAGCCTTATTTTAAGTACTTTGTTTTATTATTATTTATGTAGCATCAAAAGAAGACTGATCAAAAATTAAAGCTTTTAGACATGAATGATGATTAAGTTGAAATTTTTTATACTTGAAGAGCAAATAACGTGAGGTTGGTACTTTTTATTGGGGCTGGGATGTTTAAGTTAATTTTCACTTATTTATGGTTATTTTTACATCCAAGCCTACGTCCAATGAGTTTAATTTTGTATGCACCATTGGATTGTCCCCATGGAAAATTCAGGCCAGATGATCTTGCTATAAATTTCTGTTTTTTGTGAATTTCCAACATTTCACTGCACTTTGACTGTCAATACAGCAAAAATCATGTTCTATGAAAGTTTATGCCTGAGCCTTTATATGTTGCTCTGGGATGTTGTCATTCCAGGCAAGGCTACCATTTATTGCCCATCCTTAATTTTCTTTGGGAAGGTATTGGTGAATCTTCCTCTTGAACCACTGAGGTCCATGTGACATGGCTGTACCCACACTGCTTTTAGGGAGGAAGTTTTCAGATTTTGACTTGGCAACCTTGAAGGAAGGTGACAGTTCCAAGTCAGAATTGTGAGTAGTTTGAAAATAAGGTTGTATTTTTGCCACGTGCTTGCTGTGCTCCTCCTTGCAGGTGGTAGAAGTTTTCTGGTTTGGTCAGTGTTTTTGGAGTTTTGGACAGTTTCTCCATTGCATCTAGTAATTTTAAAAATTCATTCAGGAATGTGAGCACTTCTGGCTGGATCAGCATTTCATGCCCATCCATAATTGCTCTGGGAAAGTTGCTCATGAGCTGACTTCTTAGATTGCTGTAGTCCATTTTGTGCTGGCACAATTGCAGTACAATTAGGGAGGGAATTCCAGGAATTTGACCCAGGGGCAGTGATATAGTCACAATGGTGAGTGGGTTGGTGATGAATTTGCAGGTGATGGTGTTCGTATGCACCTACTGACCTTTCAAGCTAGGTGATAGTACCTGATAAGGCGTGTCGTGGTGACAATACTGAGGTGGTGAATGTGCTGCAGATCAAGCAGTTGCTTTGTTACACAGAATCCTAGAAGACTGACAGTGTGGAAGCAGGCCATTTTGGCCCACTTGAGTCCACACCATCTATCTGAAGAGCATCCCACCCAGACCCATCCCCCTACCTGTAACCCTGCATTTTCCATGGCTGATCCACCTTGCCTGCATGTCTGGACTGTGGGAGGAAACCAGAGCACTTGGAGGAAATCCATGCAGACATGGGGAGAACTTGCAAACTCCACAAAGACAGTTGCCGGAGTCTGGAATTGAACCTGGGTTCTGGCATTGTGAGGCAGCAGTGCTAACCACTGAGCCACCATGCTGCCCAGGAAAACCCCAGTGATTTCAAATCTTTTTTTTTCTATTCATTTTGTGGGATGTGGGCATTGCTGGCTGGCCAGCATTTCTTGCCCATCCCTGGTTGCCCTTGAAAAGGTGGTGGTGAGCTGCCTTAACTGCTGCATTCCTTCTGCTGTGGGTTGACCCACAATGCTATTAGGGAGGGAATTCCAGGATTTTGACCCAGTGACAGTGAAGGAACGGCGATATATTTCCAAGTCAGGATGGTGAGTGATTTGGAAAGGAACTTGGAGGTGGTGGTGTTCCCATATATCTGCTGCCCTTGTCCTTCTGGATGGAAGTGGTTGTGGGCTTGGAAGGTGCTGTCTGAGGATGTTTGGTGAATTTCTGCAGTGCATCTTGTAGATAGTGCACACTGCTACTACTGAGCATTGGTGGTGGAGGGAGTGAATGTTTGTGGATGTAGTGCCAATCAAGCGGGCTGCTTTGTCTGGGATGATGTCAAGTTTCTTGAGTTGGGGCTGCACTCATCTAGGCAAGTGGGGAGTATTCCATCACACTCCTGACTTGTGCCTTTGTAGATGGTGGAGGCTTTGAGGAATTGGGAGATGAATTACTCGCCGCAGTATTCCCAGCTTCTGGCCTGTTCTTGTAGCCACTGTGTCCATGTGGTGAGTCCAGTTGAGTTTCTGGTCAATGGCAACCCCCAGGATGTTGATAGTGGGAGGTTCAGTGACGGTAACACCATTGAATGTCAAGGGACGGTGGTTAGATTGTGTCTCTTATTGGTGATGGTCATAGCCTGGCATTTGTGTGGCGCAAATGCCACTTGTCACTTGTCAGCCCAAGCCTGGATATTATCCAGATCTTGTTGCATGTGAACATAGACTGCTTCAGTATTTGAGGAGTCACGAACGGTGCTGAACATTGTTCAATCATCGGCGAACATTCCCATTTCTGACCTTACGATAGGGGGAAGGTCATTGAAGCAGCTGAAGATGGTTGGGCCTAGGACACTACGTTGAGGAACTCCTCCAGAGATGGCCTGGAGCTGAGATGATTGACTTCCCACAACCACGACCATCTTCCTATGCGTCAGGTATGACTCCAACCACTGGAGCGTTTGTCCCCTGATACCCATTGATTCCAATTTTGCCAGGGCTTCTTGATGCCACACTCGGTTGAATGCAGCCTTTATATCAACAGCTGTCACTCTCTCCTCACCTCTGGAATTCAGCTCTTTTTTTTTTTGTCCATGTTTGAACCAAGGCTGTCATGAGGTCAGGAGGTGAGTGGCCCTGGCAGAACTCGAACTGGGCATCCACTGAGCAGAATATTTCTGAGAAGGTGCTGCTTGATAGCACTGTTGATGACTCCTTCCATCACTTTACTGATGATCGAGAGGAGAGTGGTGGGGTGGTAATTGGCCGGGTTGGATTTGTCCTGCTTTTTGTCTGCAGATCACACTTGGGCAATTTTCCACATTGTTGGGTAGATACCAGTGTTGTAACCAAACTGGAACAACTTGGATAAGGGAGCGGCAAGTTCTGGAGCAAAAGTCTTCAGTACAATTGCCGGAATGTTGTCAGGGCCGGTAGCCTTTGCTGTATCCAGTGTCTCCAACCATTTTTTGATATCACACGGAGTGAATCGAATTGGCTGAAGATTGGTATCTGTGATGCTGAGGAGGCCGAGATGTATCATCCACTTGGCTCTTCTGGCTGAAGATTGCGAATGCTTCAGCCTTATCTTTTGCACTGATGTGCTGGGCTCTTCCATCATTGAGGATGGGGATATTTGTGGAGTCTCCTCTTCCATTGAATTGTTTGTGTCCATCACCATTCACAGCTGGATGTGGCAGGACTGATAGCTTACATCTGATCCGTTTGGTTGTGGGATCGCTTAGCTCTGTCTATCACTTGCTGCTTTCACTATTTGGCGTGCAAGTAGTCCTGTTTGGTGGCTTCACCAGGTTGATACCACCTCTTCAGTACATCAGTGGAATTTAACTTATTCAAATTAGTGTTCATGAAGCTAGGGTACTCTTGAAGAATTCGCAAGAACAATTGAAATACCTGAGTTATGGCCAGTGCTGACTTCTGAACTGTAATCTATTGGACCTTCGTTAATGGCAGATGATTTTCAACTTAGTAGTTTTATTTGCTACTGTTCAGCACAGTCACATGATTGTTTCATTTATACTCGCCATGTCTAGATGTCAATTGGTTTTACCTTTCCTTCAGTATTAAAATTGTGCAGTATAACTTCAGTATTGGGTCTGATCTGGGTCTATAGAGCAAGAGTTAGACCCTTGGTGTAAAACAGTGGTGTTGCAGCTGTAGTGAATACTCCTTTTTGTTTAATTGATTTTTATTCAAATCCAATAAAGTAGTAATTCTAAACCATAACAATAGCACAATGTGTGCAGATTATTTTAAGATATGCATGTTTTTAATTTTTCTTCTCTTTTTTTTTAACTCCATAGGTGCTGACATCATGCCGAGTTTTTCTGTTAGCAGCACGAATCCCTACCAAGGTAATAACTACTTTTTGATTATCTTTTCCTAATCCTGATTTCAACTTGGTGAATGAATGGAAGAATATGACGGACTATGAAGTTTACACTTGATGGCTGTTGCTAGAAATTAAAATTCAAATATATCCTACTTTTATGAACACCTTGAAGGTGATGTTAGCCATGCATGCAGAAGGAAGGCAAGTGGATAGTTGAAATTCCCAAGGTCTCTTGAAGCCACTAGGAACTGACACCGCAGTGATTTTTGCAAATGAGGAGTGCACTTGCAAAACTTGCAGGGCCCATGTCAGGTGCTGATGATATCATAAAGGACTGACAGTTAGTTTCATGAGAGGCCAACTCTGTGTGGCATTGGATCAAACCCAGCTGAAAGCATTGAATGCTCACTATCAGACATTTGACGTGCTTTTGAGTACAGGAAGAGAAGATGTTCTCTGACCCTACAAAGAAACTTAATGTCCTCCTGTATTCTTGCAATTGCATGGATCCTGCAGTTATGAGATCCAATTCTGTCCTACTTATTTAATGGTCTGCTGCTGCACTTTGTGGATTTGGGCTACTTCTTAAAGATTCCCTGCTTGAAACCTAGGCTGGGGTCCTAAATGACATAAAGGTGGCCAACTGCATTTCTTTCAACACCTTTCTAAATTGAATGGTTAACCAAAAAAGGTAAGGATCATCTCAAATTGAAAGATAAAAGATAGCGTGCAAAAGATTAGTTGTACATGCAGTATTAAAAGACAACAAAAGAGGACCAAGCCAAAAAAAGGGAGCAAAAAAGCTAAGCCTGAACTACCAAGTAATATAAAAATAGATGGTAAAAGCTTATTTAAAAAGTGAAGGGCCAAAATAGAATATAGATCCCTTAGAGATGAAGCTAGGGAAATAATAACAGGAAATCAGAAAATGACGAAGCTGTAGAAATACTTTTTATCAGATTCACAGGAGAGGATATGAATAGCATTCCAAAAATACTAAATCAAGGGCCAAAAGGTAGGAAGGAAATAAATATAACTGATTGATTGGAAGAGGAAATAAGAGGCAAGCTAATGGTTCTAAAGGTCGATTTTAAATCCTTTCGACCAGCATTCCCTCCTCCACTTTTTTCCTTTTGGCTGCATGGGCCTCTGAGGTCCATGCACGGCAATGACTTTATGAATTAGAAGATAATGCCATGATGGTGTACTAACACCGATCGCTTTGCATGGAGCCTTGGAGCAACTGCATGTGTGTGCAACCACACACACAGCTTAGAGGGAACATTGCCCTGGATCTGATGGGTTGCATTCTAAGATATTAAAGGAAGTAGCTACAGAGATCGTGGTTATCCTGGTAGTGCAGTTCGAAGAATCCTTAGGATTAGAAAACTTGAGCATAACGCCCTTTTTCAACAAGAGTGGAAACAAGAAAGGGGGCAATTCAGACTGGTTAGCTTGACATCTATCAATGGAAAAATGCTAGAGTTTGTCTTAAAAGATGTAATTGCAGGGCATTTTCAAATGGAACAATACAAACAAGTAGTATCAGCATCACTTCATGAAAGAGAAATTATGCCTGACAAATGTATTAGCATAGTAGACTGGTTAGCAAGATAAGATTGCATGGGATCAAGGGAGGGCTCACTAATTGGATACAAAATTGGTTTGATGGTAGGAGACAGGTGGTGGTAGAGGGTTGTCATTCAGACTGGAGGCTAGTGACCAGTGGAGGGCTGCAAGGATTGATTATGGGTCCATTGTTGTTTTGTCATTTATATCAACAATTTGGATGAAAATATAGGAGGCATGGCTAGTAGGTTTGCAGAAAATGCCAAAATTGGTGGAATAGCAGATAGTGGAAAAAGTTATTTGAGTAAAGGGGGATCTCAATCAACTGGGCCTGTGGGCTGAGGACTGGCAGATGGAATTTAGTTTGGATAAATGCGAGATGTTGCATTTTGGTAAGGCAAACCAGGGCCGGATTTATATAGATAATGGTAGGGGCCTGGGGAGTGTTGTCGAACAGGGAGACCGAGGGTTACAGGTACATAGTTCCTTGAAAGTGGTGTCACAAATAGACAGGGTGGTGAAGAAGGCATTTGACACGTTTGCCTTCATCGGTTAGAGCACTGAGTACAGGAGTTGGTCAACATCTTGCATGTATAAGAGAGACATTGGTGAGGACACGTTTGGAGTACTGCATGGAATTCTGGTCGCCCTGCTATAGGAAGAGTGTCATTAAACTGGAAAGGGTGCAAAAAATATTTACTGGGATGTTAGCGAGACTGGAGCATTTGAGCTATAAGGAGAGGCTGGATAGGCTGGGACTTTGTTTCCCTGAAGTGTAGGAGGCTGATGAGTGACCTTATGAAGGTTTAAAAAAGCATGAGGGATATATAAAAGGTGAATAGACAGGCCTTTCCCCCGGCTAGGGGAGACCAAAACTAGAGGGCGTAGGTTAAATGTGAGAGTGGAAAGATATAAAAGGGACCTGAGGGGCAACTTTTTCCATGCAGAATTGGGTGTGTGTACGTAATGAGCTGCCAGAGGAAGTGGTAAAGGTGAGTACCGTTACAACATTTAAACATCTGGACAGGTACATAGACGGACAGAAAAGCGTAGAGGGATATAGGCCAAATGCAGGCAAATGGGACTAGTTGGCATTGATAAATCAGGCCAAAGGCCCTCTTTGTGCTGTATTAATCTGACTAATTCTTTGAGAAGGTAAAATCGGGATAGATACAGGGACATCAAAAGAGAAAATTTATTTGAAATTTCAAAAGGCATCTGATTTTAAAATAAAAAGCATGCAGGGCTATTTAATAGGTTCCCACGATGCTGAGATAGAATATAGTAAGAAAATAGAATTGGCTAACTAATAAAGGAATTGGGACGGGGGAGTTTTCAGTGTTGCAACCTGTAACTAGTGGAGTGCCACAGGGAATCAGTACAATATTGATGTGGATGAGGAAGTGAATGGACTGTAGCTATGTTTGCAGTTGACACAAAATAGGTGGGAAGATGAGCGATGACAATGACAGGAAGGGTAACCGGACCAGAAACGTTAACTCTGTTTTTTCCTTCTCAGATGTTGCCAGGCCTGCTGAGCTCTTCCAGCAACTTTTTGTTATTGTCATTGCCATCAGGAACAGAATCTACAGAGGGTATGGGCAGGTTAAATAAGTGGCAAAAACTTGGCAGATGAAAGATAATGTAGGAAAATTAGGTTATGCACTTTGGCAGGAAGAATAGAGGAGCTGAATATTATTTAAATGGAAAATGACTGCAAAAAGCTGCAACGCAGAGGGATTTGGCGTCCTTGTGCATATGTCACAAAAAGCTAGCATCCAAGTTCAGTGGGTAATAGGGAAGACGATTGGAATTTTAACTGTTACTTCAAATGGATTGGAGTACAAAAATAGGAGATTTTGCTTGAACTACATAAGGCACCTAGAATATTGTGAACAGTTTTGGCCACCTTTCTAAGATATTCTGGCATCCCAGAGAAGGTGCATTGGATTGATCCTGGGTATGGAAGGATTTGAGAAGTGGTTGAGTGGGCTTGTATACATTGGAATTTATTAGTTATTTTACCTTCGGAGCTTGACAGGATAGATGTGGAGAGGTTATTCCTTTATTGTGGGGAAGTCTAGGACCTGAGAGCATAATCTCAGATTAAGAAATCGCCCATTTAAGACAGAGAAAGATGGATTTCTGCCAGTATGGTGAATCTTTCAATTTGATACTGCAGAAGGCTGTTGAGTATATTTAAGGCTGAGATTTCCTCTCTCATCTTCTCTTTCCCCCTCCTCCCCTCCAAACTAAAGTAGTACATCAGTGGTTGTAAAGCACTGAGATTTCCAGTGGTCATGAAAGATGTCTTAAATGTGTTTTTTTTTCAAAAAAGATATTTTTGAAATTAGGGACAATTGCAATTTTGGGGAGCAGGAGAAAGGAACCTAACCACTGCCCCATGACATTGAATAGTGTTACCAACACTGAATCCCCTACTCTTAACATCCTAGGTGCTAACACCGACCAAAAACTCAACTAAACTAGCCATAGAAAGACAGAGGCTTGTTGTAGTAATCTTAAAGCAACTCTCCACCTTACTCCCAAAGCCTGTCTATCATCTACAGGGCACAAATCAGGAGTGTGATGGAATGCTCCCCACTTGCTTGAGTGCAATTCCAACGACATTCCAACTTGACACCATCCAAAACAAAGCAGCCTGCTTGATTTTTTTTATTATTATTTATTCATTCATGGGATTTGGACATCGCTGGCTTGGCTAGCATTTATTGCCCAGAAGGCAGTTAAGAGTCAACCACATTGCTGTGGGTCTGGAGTCAGATGTAGGTCAGACCAGGTAAAGATGGCATTTCCTTCCCTAAAGGACATTAGTGAACCAGATGGGTTTTTTCCTGACAATTGGCAGTGGTTTCACGGTCATCATTAGACTCTTAATTCCAGATTTTTATTGAATTCAAATTCCTCCATCTGCCATGGCAGGATTTGAACCTGGGTCTCTGGGTTCACAGTCTGGTGATTGCAGAATGGTACTATCTCCCTGCGGCGCAATATCAAATATATATTCCTTCCACCGTTGATGTTTACTAGCAGCACTGTGCTGTCTACAATATGCAGTGCAGAAATTCACTAATGATTCCTAGACAACACCCTCTGAACCCATGACCACCTATCACCTTGGAGAACAAAGGCAGCAGACATATGGGAATGCAACCACCTGGAAGAAGTTCTAAGCCACTCACTGTCCTGTTACATATCACTGTTTCTTCAGAGTCATTGGGTCAAAGTCCTGGAATTCCTTCGCTAAGGGCATTGTGGGTCTACCTACAGCACATAAACCAGTGTTCAAGAAGGTGGTACACCAGCACCATCTCTGGCATCTAGGGACAGGCAACGAATACTGGCACTGCCAGTGACATGCAAGTCCCATGAGTGGATAAAAACACTTGGAATTGTGAGTAAGTTGTGAATTGTGTAACAGTTTTGACAAAG